GATTCATCAGAATCTCTCTGACTCCAGTCACGTGCTCCGTGTTGTTGAGCCGATTGTGAGCAGAGAGGGAAAGTGTTGCAGTAACATGCACGAGCTAAAGACCAGGAGGGAAGAAAACTACCACCTTGAGTCGAGGATGTTGAAGAACCAGGTCTTTGCTGTGTCTATGMATAACCTCTGGTTCTCATGCATCTCTGAAAGATTCCTGGATCTGCCGCAAAATGCAATAACTTTCTTAACCCGTCGTTCCAACAAGTCTCGTGGAATCCTGCTGTCGACCAAACAAACCAGCAGACGGGTGAAAACACGACATCCTTGGCAAAGGTATTAACTTCTAGTTCGGGCATTAACTGTCCACAAACATCACGTCACATCTGGATCACAGCAGCCTCCGAACTGTCGTGACAAGAAGTCAAAATGTTCAGTGTGTGTTTGACCGCTGGAGGTTTTGTGCCTCACTCAGAGTTTTCCAATTAAAAAAAAAAACAGCAGGAATCATTTCTGCTGACTGAGCGTGGCGGAGCGGGCAGAGACAAAACCAACATGCACACAGAAGCAACCAGAGACTGAACAGTTCTCCAGACGTAACTGATCCCGTCTCCTCATCCAAACTCTTCCTCGGCCAACAGTAGTTTTAAAGTTCGACATTATCTGTCTTTTTGTTCAGCGTCATCAATCACTTCTCCTTTGTTCCGTGGAGGGTTTCAGAGCTTTTTAAAGATTTAGGGGTTTTGGCTGATTACAGTAGTTTTTCCACTCGTTCACCTGGAGCTGGTGTTCGTCTGCTGAGATGTTTCTGATTTCTGAGTGATTCAGGTTCACGTCAGGACGGCAGAGAACATTTGTCTTGGTTACATTAGTGCGGACAGATTAACACGCTGGTATTTCCCTCTGTTTATCTCAGCGGAGGAACGACGGCTCTGTTTCTCATCATCCTGAGCTGCTGGCCGCTGGCAGAAGCTCAGTGACCTTTGACCCTCTCCAGCTGTAGGAGGTGGTAAAAAGTCTTGGACGAGGCTCACAGAGGTCATCTCTTGTCCTCTCTCACCTTAAATATGTCTAATACCTGTCGAAGGCCTCTGCTGCAGCTGCATGTACACGAGTGTGGGTTTCATTTTAACTGTCACTGTTGTGTCAAAGAGGATTTCTGTGATTCGTCACTCTGATCAGAAACTAAACCCTGAGCCGGGGTCTTCAGCTGCTGTGTGAGGAATGCGAGCGTCAGACTCACGAGTCTTTCCGTTGTCGGACTGACGCAGACCTTCTCCCTCTGGGTAAACTGGAACCACGGTCACGGTGTAGGGAGTGTCTGACAGCAGGTTCCTCAGGACGGTGTTGGTGGTGCCGCCCGACACCTGCTCCTGCTCGCACACAAAAACACAACTTTAAAACACGTTCTGTGGAAACGGACGGAAACACAAGTCGAGAGTGTGCGTCCACACGTTAGTTACAGATACGTCTGATCCCCCCTTTCTTGTCTTCATGAGGGGGGGTGAAGCACAGGAAGTCAGTCTGACATCTCACCATGTCCTCGGCGCCGCCGGACGCAGGGACGTAGAAGATGCGGTACTGGCGGACGTTGCCCTCCGCCGGCTCCCAGCGCACCTTGAGGGAGCTGGTGGTGGGATCAGTGACCTGCAGATTCTTCACTCCGCCCAGAGGCTCTGTCAACACAACAGAGGGGCGTGAAACCGCTGTCACCTTCACACCTGAGGTATTATTATTATATATACATATATATGTATATATATATCTATATATACATAAAGTGCCAGGAGAGTTTTCATGAATGAGATGTGGTCACAGCTGCTCTGTCCAAACTCACTTGTCTTTCCGTTCTCCGTCGAGCGTTTCCCCTCCACGTCGGAGTAAATGGGCACCAGCGTCACTTTGTACTCGGTGTCCGGCTGCAGCTCTCTGAGAACAGTGTTGGTCGACATCCCGGACACCTGAGTCTGCAACAACGAGACAAACGCGACGGGAGGTCAACATGAAATTATAAAGAATATATGATTTACTTTACTTCCATTTGTTAAAGGCTGGAGGAACTGAACAATGTACATCATACCATGCTGTCGGTTCCTCCGGCCGCGGGGACGTAGATGATTTGGTACTGCCTGACGTCGCCCTCGGCTGCGTCCCAGCGAACCCTCAGCGAGTTGGTGGTGGGGTCAGTCACCTTCAGATTCTTCACTCCGCCCAGAGGCTCTGAAAGACACGTGACAAATCATCGTCTGGAACGAGGGCTCGCACACGATCCTGCACCTCGTCGGACCAGATGTCTCAGAGTCCGGGAGGATGTCAATCACACGCAAGCGTCTTTGTCGTTTCCTGTGACCGTCTAAACTTTGTGGTCTTCTATGAAACACAAACATCCTCATTAAAAAGTCTCTCAGACTTGAAAGAATTCCCCCAAGGTTGAAGTAACTGCTGCAAATAATTCGGAGCATTTGTTTCGTCCTGCAGGGTGCACCAGATGGGCGGGGGTACCACATGAGGAGTGTCCAGATGTATCCAGGAAGTTGACTAAACTTTCTGGCATTTATTCTTTTCTGTTGTGAGCCACAAATGTCCGTGTGCACACGCTCTGTGTTCGTGGTCTTAAAGGACCACTCGGTTTATTTGTTTTCATCTCAGCATGTCGTCGTGTTTTCATTTTCAAACCTGCGCTCAATGAACGACCAGACGAACAGTCTAATAGCGTGATTCTCGTTTTTCTATTTTTATCTTTTGATTCTTTCTAGATTCTGTTGTGTTCATTTTCATTGACTGGGCTTTATCGGAGGAGGAGGAGGAGCTTAAACTGAGTGTTTGAGACAGAGGCTGAAGAGAGGAGCTGCAGCGATGGACAGTCTGAGGACAGAGACGTTTTCTGAACTTTAGATCATGAAAACCAACTTTTAAAGCTGAGGCATCAGAGCTGGCTCGAGATTAGTGTGAGTGACATCTCTGGCTGAGCTCCATCCACATCTTGTACAAACAAGAGAAACTTGGTTAAATGAAAGCAGAATTAACTGTGATACACGAAGCGTGACGCCATTTACCAGTTTACCATCAACACAGTTTCTTGGTGGAACGTGGGAACCTCGTCCTTCTCTCTCACTTACATTTCTCTCTAATAAAGATTTAAAATACATTGTACTGGAGAACAGAAACATGTAAAGGAGGGACGGGCTCCACTTTCAAAGGCTTGGTTAGAGCTTTGTCCTGTCATTTCCATTGTTTGCTTCTTATTACTTTTTTATTGTTTTCATGCTCAGTAAAAAAAACGTCTCCTCTGCTCCCTCAGTTCTTCTGTTGTGCATCAAGTTCTAATAAAACCAACTTCCAGTAAAAATAAAGATCCACCACGTGAATAAATCAATGGGAGCTTTACAGCAGCATTGTTTTGGAGTAAAACGTTTGTTGTTCCGATGCGAGTGAGACGTCCCTGGATCACTTTAAAACCTGTGGATTAAACTGCTCGATGTCTCTGAGACAGAAATAACGTACAGGCTCGTGACGCTGCCTCTCGACTCTCCGCTGACTGATGATGCTGCGGGTGATTTACCCGTTCATCAAGTCGTTACCAGCTGCGACATCCATCTTCATGGTGCAGCCCAGCTTCTCTAAATCTTTAAAACCAGCTACAGACGAACAAACTGAAGGATTTACAAACTGCTGGAAAACGGTGAATCTCAAACTCATGATATCCAACAAATAAAGACATTTTAAAGTACTCCTGCCTTTTCTCTGCCAAATGTTGGATTTCAGTTTGGAATCATTTTCTCTGTTAGTTTCAAAACTAAATTTATATCATAATAGAAACAAAGATACTGTGTCATGGCGAAGATTTGTGCCAGAGGAACAAGACGTTAAATTAAATGAGTGAAGTCAGAAATAATCGACAGTGTCTGTTTAAGTCCTGCAGCTTAACAGCGAAATGGTAAAGTTCAGACGTGTCAGAGTAGAAAAGGTTGACAGGAAACAGCCGAGTGTGGAGGATGGTAGACAATATGTATATTATGTACACAACATACATATTGTCTCCAGTGTTTGTGTGTCTGTGTGGAAGGATTCACTCACTTGTCTTTCCCTTCTCCGCCTGTCGTATTCCCTCCACGTCCGGGTAAACAGGAACCACAGCCACGTTATAGAGCGTGTCGGTGTCCAGGTTCCTCAGGACGGTGGTGGTGGTGCCGCCGGACACCTCCTCCTGTTCCACACGAAAACATCCGTCAGCAACGAGTCGATGATTGAGACTGACTGAGTCCAGCCCGTGAAGGAATCAAACTGTTTTTACCATTTGTTCTTCTCCTCCTGGTTCAGCAGCGTAGAAGACTTTGTAGGTCCGCACGTTGCCGACAGCTGGATCCCAGCGGACCGTCAGAGTGCTGATGGTCGGGTCGATCACCTGCAGGTTCTTCACGCCACCCAAAGGATCTGAGGAGGAGGAGGAGGAGCATCAGTGACTGAGTGTGTGATTGACAGACTGAATTAGTTTTGTAGCTGTGAGACGAGGACGTCTCCTGACTGAGAGTCTGGAGCCTCGTGTTTGTTTCATCTGATCTAAACACTTTAACGAGAGGCCAAAATAAATCTTTTGATACGTTATAATTTAACAAATGGACTTTAGACTCTGTCGATCCATCGTCTTTGTGTTTTCTTCGTTCTTTGAATGAGCTTTAGTTTTTTTGAACACATTTAGTGAAAATGACTATTGGCTCAGCTGTGTCGTTCCTCTCGGAGCTCGGGTCATGCCCATCAATCAAAAGACTCAAACACTCACTGGTCTTCCCGTTCTCAGACAGCGGTTTGCCCTCCATCTCGTGGTAGACGGGCACCAGCGTGACCGTGTACTCGGTGTTGGGCTCCAGGTTCTTCAGGACGGTGGAGGTGGTGGTTCCAGACACCTGGTCCTGGTCGGGGGAGAAGAGAAACGATTTTGAACGAAGGATTTGGAGAACGGTTCGAAACTCCATATCCAGGAAATGAGGGGTTTGGCGGACGCAGAGAGATTCTCTGCAGGATGACTAAACGATGTCACAGCTTAATGTCTCCTGAGATCCGATTTCTTGGACGCGGCTTCGGTCAGGAATTGTCTTTGTGAAACTCAGTTACGGCAGAAGCTCGGAGACTTTAACAAACCGTCCAGGGACAATCTGAACCTTCCAGCAGCAAACTGGCAGGAAGGAGAGAAAGTCTTCCTACATTTGTTCTTTGTCCTAAAATCTGCCTGTGGGCTTTTTCTATTGTTTCTCAATCAGATCCTCTTATTTCAGGACATGTCCTCAACCGAGTGACACAATCTGGTAGGTAATGAAATGGACCCTTCAAGACGTTGTCATCATTTTACAGAAAACACATCAAAAAGTCCTGGAGACGAGTCAAACTCTCCCACATCCCTGTCAAACGTTTCCAGTTGGTTGTGAGAAAATGTAGATTTTAAGGGAAACAACATGATCCAGCTGCTTTCATCTTTTAATAACTTCATATTCTGACACGAGAGAAGAGAGTTCCTGCATGAAACTGCTTTGGACACGAGAGCAGTGCTCTTATGCTGCTGCCATTTCTCCACAAGTGATGAGGGAACTTGAATTTGAGGCCAGAACTGAATCTGCTCACACAGTTTTATTTTACATAAAGGAATACAGAGAGACTGAGAACGTTTTTTTTTTTAAAGTGACATTATAGAGAAAATTGTG